AAAAAAATTACAAAAAATGATTTACTTAATCAGTTAGTCAATTACAAAGACTTAAATTTTGAAATAATGATTCAAGATACGGAGTCGGTGTCCTGATTACTTTTATTAATACATTTAATGATGTGTTCTTTAAAAGTAGGTTTAGCACAACTGAATAGATCTATTTCGGCGAAGTTATCATTGTGTGTTCGGGCAATGCGAGTCAGTACACAATTTTTTGCATATTTAGTCGAGCGCCGAGGTACATGTATCATCGGCGTATGGCGAGTGCGCTTTCTGGGAACGTTAAACGTTATTTGCTGGACCAACTCGGGGCAATCCAAGCGGCCATTAATTATATCGTATAGTAAACACATATCCATTACTCTTCGTCTTTCCTCGAGTGTTAGCAGTCCATACGATCGACAGCTGTCTTCGTAGGACATCGGAGCTTTACGAAGGCGATAATTGAGGTGGTTGACAAATATACTTTGAATACGTTCTAATTGTTTAATATAAGTGGCATATTGCGGGGACCATATTGGGCACGCATATTCTAGGACACTGCGGACATATGCAAAATATACCAATTTAATAGTTTCAATGTTTTTAAAATCTTTACAAGACCTAATAACAAATCCCAAATTCTTGTAAGCCTTTGTGGTAATGTAATCAATATGATTGGTAATGTAATCAATATGTTAGACTTAAGATTTTTATTTTTTTTATTTTAGTTAGTTATTAGTATAATGCGTCAAGCGTGTCTTTGCATTGTTCTTACATATGCGTACAGTATTGAAATATGTATCAGAGACATTGTAGAACATACTTTTTTTAAAAAGAGTAACGAATGGAGTTTCTTGCTCGTTCTTCTCCATTCGAATCTACATTTTGGAATGAGCACCTAGCTTCACCTAATTTCACTGACGGACTGACTGACAGACTATTATTTATTTTGTATTTGTTGACGTTTCAAAAGTACCAAACTATGGTTTAAACTGTCAAACACCAAGCGGTCACCGGTGACCGCAACCTATTGTTCTATAATTGTGTCTACAAAACCGGTACTCGACGAGTTAATTGAAATAAATGCTTTGACTTTGACTTTGAATATTGAACATCTTTTTTGTATTAATTTAAATAAAATGTCAGTCTTCTACTTACGCATATTCAGACACGTAGGACAAATCCCTTGCGTCAGTACAAGTGAAGAATCGAGGTATCAACGTCCTGAATGTGCACAGCCTGTCTATTTGCTTCTTCGCCTTCTCCACGGAACCCTTGCACGATATCAAAGTCCTCTCCAAGTAGTCCTTACCTGAAAATCGTTATAATAAAAATTATTTTACTTTTTAATTTTTTTTTTTTTTGGTAGTTAAGGCGAAATGAGGCCATAACAACTACTCATACATACATACATACATAACATCACGCATTTTATCCCCGAAGGGGTATGCAGAGGTGTATATTATGCCACCGTACAATATAACACCCACTTTTCACTATTTATGTTTTGAGTCCCATGTCATAGGGGGTGACCGGGTGAGCCGGGCACAATTCCAGACTCCGTGCTAGTACTGAGATTTTTTTTTTAACCCAGTAATACTTTGCCCGACCCGGGAATCAAACCCGAGACCCCTTGCCCGGCAGTAGCACTTGCGACCACTCGGTCAACGAGGTTGTAGGTAAATATAAATGTCGCGGAGAACCTAACGGGTAACCGGGGCTCCGGCTCGATGTGCAGGAGAAGGAACGGGGTGGTTTTTAGTCAGTAAGAGTCTGACACTCCCTCCCGCCTCACCCTGGCGGGAGCAGTCATTCGATGATTTTCCCTCCTTAAAAAAAGGTAAATGTAAATGACAAATGTTTTGAATTTTTCACAATCGTAGATTACGGAGTTCATTGAAGCATAGTTTTGTTTGTTGTACCTTTATGCTATGTAGGAGAAAGAGAATGCTAATAGAAACGACAAACCACGATGATTCCAAGGTTAACAACATAGGGTGTGTTGTGCTTAAATCGCTTTAATATATTTCATCATCGCTGTCGAGATCTCATGGAGGTTCTTGTTTGACCTCCCTTAAATTTAACCTTGGCCATCGCACTATAAACCAGTTTGAACCTTAACCCACTTGTAATAACGTTGATTTGTTAACTATGTACCTCGGTACCTCAATTTTTTATTAATTGTTGTTACCTAACGAGTTTGTTAAACTTCATACCGGTTCAAAGGAAACATAATATTTTACAAAATTTACATTTATTTATTATCAACATATTATTTTAACCTTCAAGCGGGCGCGCGTAGTCGAATCGACCGCGGTTAATACATTTTCGTTCGTATTTTTATTTTTAGTTGCCACATGCATTTCTTATTTCTAGTAGCCTGTCACTATCTTTTTAGGAGTAAAATAAAAACTATTTCGTTGCTTGAAGCGCTCTCTACACTCCACAAATTACATTTTTTTAGGCTCTGGCGCAGTCGTTGATAAGACTACACGCGCCTGTCGTCGAATAGGTTACGCGCGACGCCCAACGCGACATACACATGTCAATATTATCTAATTCAGCTTGGAGTTTTGGTGTTTTAAAGCATTTTTTGTTAAAATAAGTCGTTTATGGTTATCGCAAAGTACAGTAATCGAGGAATTACAAAGAGAAGACGAAGAAGAGAGTGAATCAGAGCTTAGCAACCAAGGCTCTGAGACTTCTCATCACATAGTTTTAGAAGAACATCTATCTGATGTGATATCATCCTTGTCGGATTTAGATGAGAATAATTTGTAGGTTTCGGAAATAAATAGCTGTTTTACAGGACGCGATAAAGTAACGAAGTAGCAAAATCTGAAAAATTACTAGAATACTGACTCAGACGAAAATAAAATCAAAATTAATGAGTTTTTAGAGTTTTATCCTTACTTTTTATTTATTTTTTGGTCTACGTATATAAACCAACCTAACATATGTAAACGGGTCTTAATATTTTGATCCGAAGAATATTCGAGTTACTTTAGGTGACTTAATAATTGCTTCTTTTTCATAACTTTAATTACTTGTTGTGACAAATTTCTCTTTAAAGACAATGATATTGTATCTTAGTACAAATTAATAAATGATTATCCCATAATTATTGCTTTCTTGGTCTTATTCATCCCATAGGTCTATTCGGTTACGCGCGCCCGCTCCCGTTACAAAAGACCGCGCGCCCGCTTGAAGGTTAAACT